TATTTTTAAAAAAAAAAAAAAAAAAAAAATCGCTGCTTTTCCTCGTCACCTTCACTTTCGCTCCAACGAATCTATTCTCCTACCCTCTTCTCGACTTTTACACCGATGATTACGGAGCTCTCTCCCGGTTCTTTTTCTCCAATCCTTTTGTTCGTCCTCGCTGTGCTTTTCTCTACGTTCCCACCCTCTCTCGTTACATCCACACACACACGAGTGACGGATCGTTTTGAATACAGTATCTTGCTCCTTTTATTCGCTCTCGCGCTCTATTACAGAGTTTAAAAAAAAAAAAGAAGAAGAAGAAAAAGTTTGGACGGATGAATATTGCAATGAAAGGACCATCTTATTATTTCTCATTGGCATGTATATGTTTTGCATTGGGTCCAAAGGGGGCCGGGGCTTTTTTTTTGCTTCCAATCTAGTTTCATGCAAATACAAAGTATTTTGGCAGCAGCTAAAAACGCATTTGGTGGAGATATGGGTCGCTCGAGCACGTATAAACAGTCGTCGTTCTGAAAAAAAAAAAAAAAACTACGTATCGTTACGTACGAAATTTCTCTCGGGACTACCGACAATGGGAAGATAGTAATAACGTGTGGGCAAACAATTTATTTGTCAAGTCCGTACGAGAGAAGGTTTTTCAAGAAAAGTATAGGAAGATTTATAATCTCGGGACGCACTTAAAGTCGCGCGATTTCTGATGCATTAGGGCAAGCGATTTCTTAAAAGCCCCTTTCTCTCCGTAAAATTGTACTTTTTCTCGTTTGAAAGATCACATGGGCTCAAGGCAAATCGGGTATCAAAAATTCACCGAAAGCTCAAAATCTCAAGCTCGGCTTTTTACCGCGGCCGAGAAAATGTGGAGACAAAACAAAAAAAAAAAAAATCGAAAAATTGCATCTCATCCCGCTGTACGCGCAAATCCTGCCACGGCTAAAAGCTTCATCCAAGAGTTCTCGTTCATCCGAACTTTCTCCTCCGTCCGACGAAAGAGACGACGACGCTATACCGAGTTTCGTTCCGGAATCTCGGGCGAATTCGTTTACAAGCCAGTTCCGTGCGATCGATATCCACACGGTCACCCACATTTGTGCCCACGCACACACCCGTACATTTTCTATACTCTCCTCCTTGGTATACACCATCTGGCGTGCTCGCGTGTGTGTGTGTCTCGGTATACGTAAGAGAAACTCGCGTGCGCAGGGATCAAGTGCAGCCGACTACCATCAGGGGCTTCCCCTGTTTTCCTACCTACACCGCGCTGGGAAATCGAGCCAAAAGCCGCGCGTGAACTTAGACTTGATCCCTTTTTTTCTCTCTTCCCTTTCCCCCCTTTCTAAGGTGTATCGAGTTATTGGCCAACCGGAGTAAAGTCTAGTACCTACAATACAAGCAATGTCGCGTGGATAAATTAAATCGGCTCATCATCGTATAACCGATCCCTTACCGATTTTTTTTTTTTTTACTTGCTTCGTTGTGCGAGAACCTGTTCCATAGGGTGGTTTTAAGGAATACAATTGTCCCGCGATAAGTAGGTACCGAAACTTTAAACAATTAACAAAATCTTTTTTTTTTTTTTTTTTTTTTTTTTCGAGATTCCCTTTGATGAAACCATAAGCAATCAGTATTGTGAATAGATGAAAAAAAAACAGTGCTGCATGTAGTAAAAGTGATATAAAATGACGCGGGAATCATTCGTTTTTGTTGCGGGCGAACGGGCCCACGTTTTTATTTCGCGTTGCTACGAAAATAAAATAAAATAAAATACCTACATCGCTTCCTTTTAACACTCCTACGGCAAACTTTTGCAGCTAATTTACGCCAGTGTTGAAAGATTCACGCGCTCCCGACGAAAACAAGACTCTAAAAAAAAAAAAAAATAAGCCTGTTTTTTACGACCACCGGAGAATTCTCCCCTATGTGCTCGTAACTCTAAAATTCAGCAAGATGTCGGTCATTGGGGGAGGAAAAAAAAAAAAAAAAAAAAAAAAGTACACGTGACATTAGCCTCGCCACGCGATGAATGGCGAGGTATACACGGTATGGCTGCCGACAACAGCCGCGTCTGACTATCACCGGCTGTTTCTACTGAAACTCGTAGCGATCGACGTAACGCGGTACGTGCGAAAGAAAAGGGGGGGGGGGGGGCAAGNAAAAAAAAAAAAAAAAAAAAAAAAAAAAAAAAAAAAAAAAAAAAAAAAAAAAAAGTACACGTGACATTAGCCTCGCCACGCGATGAATGGCGAGAAACAATAGCCGTTTAATTTGGCGAGCGTGTGTATTATACAACAAGCCCGTGGGGGGTCATGGTGTACAAACGTGCGGGCACCCCACAATGGGTGATTATGTTAACCCTCCCATTGTCGAAGGATAGAAACGAGCCATTGCCCTCGTTACTGGCTCTACTTTTGTACGCGGCTTGTCGCAATCTGCTCGTATACTGCCGCTCTGGAATTATCATAACACGCGAAACAAAAAAAAATAAAAAATAAAAAAAAAATGAGAGGGAGAGAGAGACGAAGCCCGTATAATCCAAACGGACGCGCGGAAGTGCGCAAAGGGAGAAAAAGAAATTGCGCCTCTCTCTCTCTCTCTCTTTCCCTCGCGTAAAGTATGCGAGCGAGCTTTTACGGCCTGGCGCGCGAGTGGAGCATACACGTTGGGGCTCATTTATCCCTCCCTCCACCCCCCCCAATTTTTTTCCTTTTTTAGTGTCACAGGAGTGTGAAATAACAACCGCACCACCACCACCACCACCACCATCCCGAGGCACGTGATATAAAACGAATCTGACACTCGTAATGAGTGGAATCATCATTCTTGTTTGCATAACTTTTTTCTTTCTTTTACAAACGGTACTTGCTCTCCGATTTCAATCAGACGCACACGTGCGATGATTTACCCGTCATGTTTAATTGGGAATAATTTACGGGAAGGTACGTCACCAAAGGGGGGTACAACAAATCATTTTGCAACATAGACACGTGGATGAATAATGTACCTCGCGCTTGATTTCAAACGCAAACGCAACCATACCACGGGCAGCACAGATGCGCGCGCGTGTATATATATATATACATATATATATATAGAAGATTGTTTAATTTAATTAAAACGTCGATACGCGTTTGGCTCTCTGGCCGCGCGGCCTCAAATGCTCAATCCGACGCTTTTTTGATCTCGCGTGTGTGTACGTGCAATGACAGAGTGGGTTGAAGGAAAAAAGAAA